TCTATTAAATATGAATAGATGGTCTGAACATTTTAATCAAAAGGCAGATCCAACAACTATATATCTACAGAGACTTAACCTTAAATGCAGACACAAATAAGTTGAAAGTCAAAAGACTTAAAAAATATACCATAGAAGCAGTAATCATAATAAAGCTGGAGTGGCTATATCCTTATCAGCCAAAATAAGCAGGCATTAAGATAAGAAATATTGTTACAAGCAAAGACAGCTAGCTATTTTATAATGATAAAAAGTCAACACATCCCGAAGATCGAGCAATCATAAATGCATATACAACTAATATTACGGCCTCAGATGCATTTAAATAACAATGTGTCCCGAAGCCATGCTTGAAGTTGCTTTAGTGTTAGGCATTAGTTCTGATAATACAGCTTCAAATTTCCTTCAAAAAATGTTAATTTTAAGATGAGTTTTTTGTTTGTTTTGTTTTTTAGCACAGTGACCCCTACTGGTACTAATAATAAACTTAAATGGCCTTTCTGCCCCTTTCGTAATTGGTTCCATTCCAGCATAAGGTTATTTTGGTTATTTTGAAAGGATCAGAAAAGTCTAGAGAACCCAGGGAATGAGTGTAACTCACTCTCTTTGTAACCACATCTGAGTGTTGTTTACTTCTTTATTATAATCGTGTAAAGCCAACCAATGTCTTCAACAACTAGTGAACAAGGAGCTAGCTAACACTAGTCCTTTGTTCTGTTGTTAAGTGCTATCATGTCAGTTTTGACTCACAGCTAGCCTGTATAGGGTTTCTGAGGAGATGCTGGTGAGCTGGAACCACCAACCTTGCAGTTCAAACTGACCTTCCAGTCCAGCGCATTAACCCACAACCCCTAGACCAGTGGTTTTCAGTCCTGGCTGCAATTAGAGTCAGCAGAGGATTTTTGGAATATTAATACCTAAGCTTCACCTTCAGTGATTCTAACCTCATTAGACTGGGGCAGAACTCAGGTGTTAGAATATTTTTAAAACACCTATGTGTTTCAATATGCAACTAAGAATGAAAACCACTAACCTTGAGTAAAAGTTTTCCTTACCATTGTCTTATAATTTACCAGTAATACGGTAGGTATACTAAAGTATTTAAGGAGCTCTGGTAGCGTAGTGGTCACAAATCAGGCTGCTAAATCCCACAGTCAGAAGTTTGAAACTACCAGCTGTTTCACGGGAGAAAGATGAGGCTTTCTGCTCCCGTAAAGGTTTACAGCCTCAGAAACCCTGTACAGGGTCACTATGAGTCAGAAACGACTCCACAGCACAGAACAACAACAGCAACACTTAAGTATATCTAGAATTTCTCCCGTTGCTTCATGAAGTATTTCCTCAAGGAATGAGTCATTTTTCCAGGCCAAATGTATGTCATGGTAAGGTCTTGGCATGCAGATCTCCATAGATATTTTTTAAGATTGTAAAATTGAAGAGAAATGGCTAGACTATGGATTTACAAACTTTTTCTGTAAAAGACCAGAGAGTAAACACTTAAGGTTTTGTGGAATGTAGGGTTTCTGGTGACACTATTCAACTTCGCCATTGTAGCACAAAAGCAGTCATAGTCAATAGGTAAATAAATGAGTGTGAGTGTTTTCCAATAAAACTTTATAGCTACATTTCTAAGTTTCCTTACTAAAAGCAATTTATAGATGTAGCAATTTCAATGTCTCATAATGCTTACATTCTACTTTGGATTTTTTTCTCAATGTTTCAAAAATATAAAAAGCATTCTTAGGTCATGTGTTGTTAATTGCCGTCGAGTCAGTTCTGACTCAGAGACCCTGTAGAGGGTTTCCAAGCAGTGGCTGGTGGGTTTGAACCACTGACCTTGCAGTTCAAATCAACAGTGCCACACCACGTCATTGGTTACATACAACCTGAAGTGGGACAAATTTGTTCTATAGGCCACATAGTTTGCTAATCTTTGGTATAATCAGTGGGCACCCTGAGGGTATACAGACATTAATGAAAACCATACCCATTTTATCAAGCAAAGGAACTATTACCTCTGCTTAAAGAAGCCAAGAAACTTGGTGATGGTACTCTTGACACTGCTTGTCATGAAGATTTCTTAATCTGGCCCCAAACCTTGTCAGTGAAGGTGTGTCAACTTGACTAGCGCTGGATTCTCAGTGGTTGGCAGTTAAGAGGCAGTGATTTCCCATGATGTGACCAGCCCTGATCTGATGTAGTTATCCTTGTTGTTGTTGTTGTTAAGTGCCGTTGAGTCAGTTTTGACCCATAGCGAGAGGCCACATGCAATCTACAGGATTTGGTTGTATCTTGAGAGTCAATCTCTTTTGAGATATAAACGGAGAAGCAAGCAGAAAAAAGGGACCTACCTACCTGACTCACCAAGAAAGAGTCTGGAGTGCAGTGTGTCCTTTGGACATGGCGTTCTTGTACTGTGAAACAACTAGATCCAGGGAAAGACAGATGCCAAGACCCATAGAGATCTCCAAGGAACATTGGGCCTAAAGATATTGAAACGAAACAGAGTCGACCAAGAGAGGAAGTCTTCCCCAGACTCAGCACTCTGAATTCAGACTCTATCTAGGCTTCCAAAGTGTGAGAGACTAAATTGGTTTGTTAAAACCACCTGCTTGGGGCATTTCTGCGATAGCAGTACTCAATAACTATAATTTCTATAATTCAAATTTCTTGAAGATCTATTACAATTGTATTAGAACTTAAGTTCTACTGCACTTGATTTGTGAAAGCCTGTGGTTTATAATGGAAACCCTAACTCCATTTTGAGTCTTGAGATCTAACCATTCACTAGCACTTTAGCAGCTTTGACCTCAGGTGGTGTATTTGAAAGATTAAATGAGCTGAGTGAGGGAGAGGCAGTTTTGTCCTGAGGCTTATACAAAGAACCTGGGAACTTGCTTGGGCATGTCCTTAATGACTTACTGACAATAGCTGAATGTTACTTACAGTTAAGGTCCTAGTGGTTATGGCTCAGTGTCACAGGACGATGGTCATGGTCATACCTGGACTACCAGATAGCCAAGTGGCTGAAGCCCCAGCCAATCCTGTAAGCCTTTTAATTCTGTAAATGTGTACATAACACAATCATCATCCTTTCCCTGATTCTCAAGTCCCACCTCTGACAGTGATGAATTGACCTGCTACTAATAAAGGATTTTTGTGATGATTTCCTTCATCTATAATTGTCCTTACTGCAAATTTATTGCACTCTATTTCAGTCTCATCGTGTTTCCCCGCATCCTAGGATGAGTGTTGTCTTTGTCCTGTGTAAAGAGTCCTGTTGTGGTGCTGTGGATAAGCACTGGATTACTAACTGCAAGGTTGGCAGTTAAAATCCAACAGGCCACTCCTTGGAAACCGTATAACAGGGCCACTATGAGTCAGAATCAACTCAAAGGCACTCAACAACATAGAACGTTTAAATTGGGGGTTTTTCCATTCATCCAGCCTTGGCTCTTAAGAAACACAATCCAGGTACTCTATGGAAGAAGACAGGACATAGCCTTAGGCAGCTAATAGGAAAAACTGCTAACCAAACAACTTGATCTTAAATAGGTTAGTCTCATTCACCTGGGTTTAGGTGTGTCTAATGGTGGAGGGTTTATCATGTATTATAAGGAGCGTTGTTGTTGTTGTTGTCAGGTGCCATCGAGTCGGAACCGACTCAACGGCACTTAACAACAACAACAGCATGAGGTGTATACTCAAAACAGCTTTCAATGTTAAAAGCATTAAGGTCTAGACAACCAGTATTAATTTTTCCCATTAAATACTTTTCTGTGCCCGATTCTTAAAACATTTCTACAGTGGGCCATACTTTTCATTACTAAAGTAACTTCTAAGCTGCTGCTGAATTGTCCATCCCCAAACTACAGGAAGTGTCTATCCTTGACTCAAAAATTCCCACCTCCAGAAACTGAGTATCAGAACTTTTTCAATCTCTAAGGATTTATTGTTGAGTAAACTTATGTTTTATGTACAGAACAATTAAAGCTAACCAAGTGCAACAAATAAGCCTGCCAATTATACATTGTTTTACACTAACCACATATAGTTCAGTCAGTTAATTCTCAAAATTAAACATCCAAATAATTTCTATTATAGTTGATATCCCTCATATTACCAAACAAATTTAAAATCAGACAGCATTCTCAAATTGCAAACCTACTCAATAATTTGTTATAAAGTTTAAGAAAATAGACAAGGGCAGATAATTGTGCCACAAGCATGGATACCCAGTTGAGAAGTTATTGAAAAAAAAAAAAAAAAAAATTTACTATTTGCACCAAGGTTAGAGAATGTTTAAAAGATTGACCAGAAAACTTTCCTGTTACTATTTTAAGATTATTTTAAAACTCTGAATAAAGAATCTACTGGCTGTAACTCTTAAGATACTATCAAAAACAAAAACTGCCTTAGTCTCAACATTCACATTTATGATTGACATCTTTAAATCACTGCACCAGCCTGGCAAAATAGAAATTATGTTGGTTGATGGGAACTGAAAAGCAGCTGGAAAATTAACATTTCTCTACTTAGGAAAATGTAATCCTTTAGAAGGAACAAGATTATCTGGGTTGAAAAATTTTGCTAAGCTGGTTTACATGAAGATGTTCCCTCCCAAATTCACACGCCTCAAACATGCATGGGGGGAGATGGGAAGGGTTGAATAAAATTGAAAGCTAAGAAAAACATTACACTTTCCAACACGGGGAGTTGTAATTTTCACCTAGTAGCCTGAAATTTTTAGTTACTATGCACTATCGTTTCAGAAAGTTCAGTTTCTTCAGCATCAAGTCCCAATGACTTATACCACACACATAAGCTCTGCCTCGTTCCTATCACGCTCATTAATATCTAATACCAATTCCAAAAACATTAGCTCTTCATTCAGTGACTTATAATACATATTGGGACCTCAAGATCAGATCATCTTATTGTAACCAAATCTTTAAGGGCAATATGGAACTTTCAAAATCCTATTAGGCCTAGATCAACAAATAGAACAGTTATTGAAGACTTAACAAACACCATTATATTTTGTATGAATAGTTCACTGTATCGCATTTGATTCCTAAAGGTTTACCAAATTGAAAAAGTAATACTAAACACAAATCAAAATTCTAGTTAGAAACATTTTTATTTAAATGTGCCAAATAAAAACCAACATTTCCAGATCATAGGATGTTAATACATTCAACAAAAAATGTATATTATCTTACTGCTGTGAATTTACAGAGTAATAATAATCCAGATCCATTTTGATTAGATGGTTGAAATACCCATCCTAGGGTACACTTTACAGACATCACAAATCCCTTATAATAATGTAAACAAAATAACTTCTCCCCTAAAAGCTGAACTTGAGAACTTCAGTCCATTCTTTCAGGACTTGCACTTCTGCGTGGACTTCCTGATGGGGAACGACTACAATGGAAAAAAAACAAGAGTTTGGAACCAATTAGTGTCCACTGTTAATTACTCTGTTTGCTCCCTACTGAAGGTTAGTAAGTGTCTTTGACAAAACTGCAGTTTGAGTAACTATGTAAAAGAAAACCTTTGTCATTAAATAATTACAATTTAGTCATGAGCTTGCAGCATAAAGATTTTACATTTTAGCATATTAAATTCATTTTAATAACCACTTGTAAATTCGAAGATTAAACTTTCATCAAAAACACACACTAATTATTATAAGCAGAAAAAAAGTCATGTCAGAAACTTATTATCTATTATTTCATATTTATCTATATAGCACCAATTCTCCAAAGAGCTCAAAGACTGCAAATTCTGCAGAGGCCATATCTGACAGTAAAATCTGGCAACAGAACATCATTTAACTTACCTTCTTTTTGGAGATGGTGATCTGGACTTTGATCGGCTGTCAAAACATGAGAAATTCTATTTAGCCAAGGCATTAGCCAATCCCTTTCTTAGTCAGAATGCCATGAAATGAAACCCCAAGTTGTTCTGAGCTTAAATTGGAGGAAAAGGAAAAAGCCTACCTGGTTCTTACTAAAAAAAATAAACAAAAAAACTGCTATATTTAATCCAGATTAGCCTTTCAATTCTTATCTCAGGATGTTTTATCATGCAAAATCCAGGTAGGCTTGCAGATGTTCACAGATCTAAAGCTACCTATCATAAAAGTTATTAAAATGAAAACAAAAAAAATTCTATCAAGGTCATTGGAACAGAGCCCCATTTTAAGCTGGGGACTACCTGTTAAGTAGTTCTAACAAGGGCCTATTACTATAAATCCACAACATTAAGCTGCACTCTCGTAACTTCAGATTCCACTAACAACAAAGTCCATCAGGTACACCATGTATAAATGAAATTCTAAAGTTTGGTATATTAATAAGATACTCAGTTAATATGTGTTTCCACATAACACCTAGGCTTAAAAGTTACTTGAAATATCAACAATTCAAAACACTTTGAACTCTTTGGATATTGGTGCCATATAACTAACTATAAAAATGTTAAGCAGTTTTGCCCTACCTGCTTCTTGGTCGTGAAAGAGACCTGGATCTGGATCTTGACCTTGACCGAGATCTGAATCAAAAAAAGCAAATATTAGTCCACCGAAATAATTCCCTCAAAACATTTACTGAGCACCTATTTAGGCTGGGTTCAGAAAATGCAACTCTTGTCCTATAATTAGCCACATACAGAACAAATTCTCACATTTTCAAAAAAGATATAAAGGGAGTCACCATTTAATTTCAAGTTCTTTAAAAAGAGCAATCTTGGGCCAAATATGTATTACGAAAGGGAAATTAAGTGTTGTCTAGTTGGTTCCAAAGGAGTCTGGCTGCTAACCTCTAGGTCAGCAGTTAGAAACTATCAGCTGTTCCACAAGATAAAGATAAGGTTTTCTGCTCCCATAAAGATCTACAGCCCCAGAAACCCTATACAGGGTTGCTAGAGTCAGAACTGACTCCACAGCACATCATCATCACCAGTTGGCTCCAACTCAGCAGTTCCCCAGTGGGTTTGAACTGCCAACACTGCAGTTAGCAATAGAGTGTTTATCCATACTAGAGTAGACTATAGTCAGCATTTTAAAAAAATATTAGGATTTTCAGTTTTCACTTGAGAAAAGTGGTGTAACATAATGTAAACACTCTCAGTTGTCTTAAGACTTGATAACCCAGAAAATGAGGGGGGAAAAAAACTGCTACATACTGGAAATACCTCGATCCTTTTATAGAACCAGATCTAGACCTTCTAAGTGAAGCTGATCTTGATCTCCGAAGAGATACAGATCTAGATCGTCGAGGAGATGCAGACCTCGACCTAAAAAAAGAAATGAAACAGCTTAGTATCATTTCTAAATAAAATCAACACTTTTAAGACCTGTATTCAACAATTATCTCTTACCTGTGTCCTCTGCTCCTGCTTCGTGAGCGAGAGTACCGCCTTCCCCTGGATCTCGAATGTGATCTAGACCTTGACCTATTTTTCAAGTTGGAAAAAAAAAATGATGTCAGAAGGCAAGTCATTCGAAGAGTTTGTATGCCTTTGCTGAAATCAAATCTCAAAACTATTTAAATTTAGTGTCTCATTTGGAAAAAAAACAAAACAAAAAACTCTGGGCCTATTAGTTTTTTTTTTTTTTAAACTACCTAAAAAAAGATTTGTTAAAAAGTTGAATTACATCTTAGAATTACATAATACAAATCACTGTAATGTGTATTTAAAATAAACCTTGCAAGTTTGCAGGTCGACCCTCTTTGGCCCATGGTCTAGTAGATCTAGACGATCTAGAAGTATCTATAGCCGATCGCTGCATCTAGATGTTTTCTTCAATCTAACGACGATCAAACTGACAGCCAAATGAGCCAGGTGAGGCTTGATTGACGCAAGAAGATTTTTCTAGTTGGGAATGTGGTCAATCTGGTGTTCCTCTTTCTAAACCGGAGGGGGCCCCAATTGTAAGCCAAATTTACTGTTACGGCGATCACCGTCTCAAATTTTCTGCCCTTTAAAGAATAAGGTGAAGCTAGGTGTAGATGACTCGAGGGGATCTGGCCTCTTATGCTGATCACCTCAAGGTCTAGAAGGATCTTAATTGTCGGATTTGCAAGGCGCCTCAGCATGATATCATAAGGCTCGTGACATTCTGAATCAAGGCGACTGACTCAAACGAAGAAACCTGAAAGGTTTTGACCAGGTTGATTATTAACATATTAACATTTGTTTAATTAAACAAAAAATTGTAAAATACACCTGTACAATTAACATTCAATTTTATAGAAAAATAATAGTTTCTCCCTTGCTAAAAAAATCACTTGATTAAACTAGTATACCAACCATTCCTTTATTAAAATAAATACCTGCTTCTTCTTCGACGACTATAGCGATGACAATCATAAGCATAATGTCCCTTTTCTCCACACTCATAACATCTATCATTGGGATCAAAGGGACGTCGGGCAGGTGGTCTATCAAAACGTGATCTTCGAGGCATGCCTGTGGATAGTTCAACTCTGACTCTAGAACCACAGATCACTCTGTAAAAGTAACAAAATTCTATTATTATTATACACATGTGAATTTGTTAAGACTCTCTTCTCTTTACTAAGCTCTTCCAGTATCCTCCAAACAAAATTCAAACTTAGCATCTAATTCATTACCTAACTCACAGGACACCTGAATGAACACTTTACAAACACATTTTACTTACTTCCCATCCAATCCTCGCACAGCATCTTCTGCATCTCTGGGATCTTCAAATTCCACAAAGGCAAATCCTGGAGGATTTCTTGCAATCCAGACAGTTCTTAAAGGGCCATAGTAACTAAAAGCCCTTTCTAACTCTCCTTTACCAGCACCAGTTCCCAGATTACCAACATATACCTTGGTCTCTGTTTAAAAATAAAGAAAAATGCACGTTATGCAAAATCCTGCCTAAATTTGAACGCGTTGTCATAAAAAGATGCTATCTTACGCCTGGACAAAGCATGTTTAATGCTGTTTGAGTGACTGAATTTAGTCTTAAACCAGCTAAGTCTGCAAATTGCTGAAAAGCTAGGCTTACAACAAAAAATGGCTATTCCGATTCATAGTGACCCCACGTAACAGCAGTACTGCCCCAAAAGGTTTTCTGGGCGCTAACCTTCATGGAAACAGACCGCCAGGTCTTTTTCCCGCGGAGTCGCTGCGTAAGTTCAACCCATCAACCTTTCTATCAGCAGCCAAGAAATTAATCGTTGGGCCACCAGAGCTCCTCCTTAAAATTCTAACTAAGAAGAAAACTCCAAAACAAAAGCTAAGACGCGTGGTTGGGTATTCCCGGGCGTGCAGCGGCAACGGGCCTCGCCCCGGCCCCGCCCCCGGCAGCCTGGAAGCCCGCGGGCCCCGGGTAGGGTTGGGCCGGTGGGGCTGCACCGATGTGGGTCCTTCGCGACAACCACCCTAGACGCAGGCTCGCCCCAAGCTCCAGCTCCCCGCCCCAAAGCCCCGAGCTGCCCTCGAAATTACTACAAAACAGGAAAAAAAACATCCAGGCGTCAGATGTCATCATCATTTCTCTATTTCGACGCCGCAAGTTGGATAGCTAGACGAGACGACGCACGCGGCAGTCACGATTTTATTTAGTCTCGAATTCAACCTTGTTTGCACGACTGCGACCAGATGTGTCCGCTAAAGTGGCGGGAAAAATCTAAGAAAATGCGCCACCATGGTCGTCAATGTGCGCAAAATGGCAGCCACCGCCGAGGGCGGGAGGAGGGAGAGGGCGGCCCCAAGAAGGGCAACTCGAAAATTGTAATGTAGGGCCCGGTCTCGGGATGCACCAGGCAGCGAAAATGTCCAGGATTTAATAAGGAGCCAGGACAGACACCCGCCAACCTCCGTCTTCCTTCAATACCCCGCCCCCGCTGCCTCCGGCTTCGTTTGGCTTGAGCCAAAGCCGCCATTACGCACGCGGAATAACCGTCTCCCAACCGTCGCGCTAACACTACGGCCTCGCAATACTCACTACACCCACACCACTGTCCCTCGCTCGGCTCCAGTAACTTACCTCCTCCGTACCGCCCGTAACGCGACATGACGACTGGCCCGCGTGCTCAGCTCCTGTAGCTCGCAGTGCCCAGGTCGCGACTGCTACAGATACTCAGAGACAACCTCGCTCATCAACGGTCCCAGCAGAGCTATGAGGAAGAAGCTGAGTTCGCACTTATATATGCGGCGGCTGGGTGTTGCGCATGCGTCATCTTCACGTTCTGCGCGGCACAAAGGAGTTGAGCGGAAACAGCGGAGAAGCGCCGCGGAGGGAACTGGGAAAACTAAATGCTATCGCGGCGGAGGGATATGTTTCCATGGGAACGCCGCCATCTCGCCCGTAAACCTCAGGACTTCCCTGCAGTGTCCCGCCCCTTTCTCCCTCCCCCCCTTTCAAATACCCTCCCTATTTTCTTTCCTTTCCCCCTTTCCCTTCCTTTCTCCTAAAATCTAGTGACCCTCAGCTCTAGGAATTTTATTACAGGTGCATTAAGCCAGCCTAATGAAAGTCTGTAAAATTTAATCGCTGATGTTGCAGCAGAGGCCGTTATTCTGCTGGGGTAGCTGGCCTAGTCAGTGATCCTTGGGCTCATCTGAGTTAATCGGAAGTTTGGCCAGGGTGAGAATACCATGAACCTTATCATTCTGGGTACTGGTCTCCGGACTGTAGACTACAAAAGAGATTATACCTGCCTCTCACTGATTTCCCAGGCCCTGATTATATTATGCCTGCCTCTCACTGGCTTCCCAGGCCCTTCAGAACCATTCACCGATTTATCGACAACAGTGTCCGAGTTTCTGGAGTTTGAGGGACAAAGGAAAAGTTTTGCCTTTTTTTTTTTTTTTAACTTTTTTCCAATTACATTGAATTTGTGACAAGACTTTACGTCTTTAAAGCATTTTGGCCAGTGGTAATGTTTAAATTATTTGCATCTTAAGCACAAATTAATTGTATTTCCTTTCTAGTGCTTTCTGCTTTGTGTAAATAGTAATGTATTTCATCCACTAAAAGGATTTTTTTAGTCAAGTGCACGGCAGTGGAGGCAGCTGCTAAACGAAAACCTTTTATTTACATTGTTGTTGTTGTTAAGTGATGTGGAGTCAGTTCCGACTCAAAGCGACCCTGCATAGGGTTTCCAAAGAGCAGCTGGTGAATTTGAACGGCTGACCTTGTGGTTAGCAGTCCAGTGCTTATCCTACAGGGCCACACGAGGGGTTCTTCTTTATGTTATCATTGCTTAAAACCCACTTTTGATTTTATACAATATATTTACCTGATATAAACTTAATAAATACTAATTCAAGTTCTTTTTACCAGTCCAGAGCACAGTTTCACATTATACCTTAAGTACTTGGAATTCTCAAAGGTTAAAAATGTTCTACATCAAAGAGGAAATCTTTAGGTTTTTGCTGTTTATCTTTTAACTGCTATAACTTCACTTGGTGTGTCTTGGTTAGGTGAATTAAGAATGGATACTCTGCTAGTCAGAGCTCTGGAAGCATAGTGGTTACGAGCCGGGCTACTAACCTCATGGTCAGCAGTTTGAAACTACCAATGGTTCCACTTTCTGCTCCTGTAAGGATTTACAGCCTCAGAAACCCTATGCACGGTCTCTATGAGTCCAAACTGACTCCACGGCACACCACCAGCACCACTCTGAGTAAGGTTACAAATTTATATACATGTGTCTTCAAATTGAGTCCTGGTATGGTGCTGTAGAATAAGCACTGGACTGCTAAAAGCAAGGTTGGTGGTACCACTCCTTGGAAAACCTACAAAGGGTCTCTAGGAGTTGGAACCAACTTGCAGCACTTAACAACAAAACATGTTCAAATGTATCAAAATTATCAAAAGAAGAATCAACAGTGAAGAAAATCTCAGAAAGTAGTTCTATGTTGTTGTTAAGTGCCGTTGAGTTGACTCCTTGTTGTTGTTAGGTGCCATCGAGTTGACACCAACTCATAGCAACCCTATGCACAGCAGAACGAAACACTGCCCAATCCTGGGCCAACCTCATTACTGTTGTCCTGCTTGAATCCATCGATGCTGCCACTTGACCAATCCATCTTGTTGGGGTCTTCCTCTTTTTCTCTGACCCTCTACCTTACCAAACATGATACTCTTCTCCAGCGACTGGTTCCTCCTGAAAGTATAGCCAAAGTATGAGAGAAGAAATTTGGTCATCTTGGCCTCTAAGGAGCACTCTGGCTGCACTTCTTCCAAAATGGATCTATTAGTTCTTTTGGCAGCCCATAGCACTTTCAATACTCTCCTCCAACACCATAACTCAAAAGCATCAATTGTTCTCCGGTCTTCCTTATTCACTGTCCAGCTTTTGCATGCATATGAGGTTATTGATAATAGCATGGCTTAGGTCAGGCGCACCTTAGTCCTCAAGCTGACATCTTTGCTCTTTGTTGTTGTTGTTGTGAGGTGCCATCGAGTCGGAACCAACTCCTAGCGACCCCATGCACAGCAGAATGAAACAATGTCCGATCCTGGGCCAACCTCACTACCGCTGCCACACTTGAGTCCATCAATGATGCCACCTGGCCA